CACAAAGAAAGCCCTTAGCAAAGTAAAGAATTCCTGTGTGGATCCTCCTACTGCTAAAACTATGCCAAATCCCAAACGCATTTTTCCAACTGGCCCTCTGAGTTATCCTGATTCAAGGGGATTCCCTAAAGAGACCAATCAGGTCTGCCATGGTATTCTGAAGAAAAGTATCAAAGGATAACTAATAAGATTACTAATTCATAAATGTTCGGAATAGACTAGATCAAACATAAATGAGTAGATGCTTTAATCCTGTAGTTAGTAAGAGAATAACAGAAAAACAAAAACAAAAGAAAGGAAAAGAAAAACCCCTACAAATAAGGCCAAAGACTGATAAAGAAAAGGACTAGAAACCAGAACTACCTGGGAAATCAAAAGAGAATACAAATACAGCACAAGGGCCCTGTCATCCAAAAGTGGCTTCGTAAGTGAAATCGTAAGCTAAATTCAGATAGAGCAATTTCACAAAAAGAGGAATGATGTTTTCTAGGACTATGTAAACTACACTGTGATTTTAACTACTGTCACAGTGTAAACATTAGCATTATAAATTCATTGTAGGGGCGCCTGGGTGGCTTAGACGGTTAAGCGTCTGACTTTCGCTTAGGTCATGATCTCGCGGTTCGTGGGTTCGAGCCCCGCGTCGGGTTCTGTGCTGACTGCCAGCTCAGAGCCTGGAGCCTGTTTCAGTCTGTGACTCCCTCTCTCTCTGACCCTCCCCTGCTCACGCTGTCTCTCTCTCTCTCCTAGATATAAATAAAACATTAAAAAAAAATAAATTTTAAAAAAAAGCATTATAAATTCATTGTAAATAATACTCCTCAAAGCAACATTTATACAACTATACTCAAGTCAATACTAATAAAAAAAAGAAACAAAAAAGGTGACAACATTTGCTAGGTAAATGTTAGGCATGCAAGGTGAGATACTTAAAAATGAATCCTAAGATTTTTATAGTGATAATCATACTCATGTGAAGTATTTTCATCTGTATTAACAAAAGCTCCACTACATAGATGTGTTTAACACGAAATGAGTAAAGTGGCTCTTTCTAAATGGTATACTTTCAAATTAAGAATATTTTAAGTTTTCACTGAAATTTTAATACTTCCAAAACACATTTTAAAATGTGTTTTATATTCCTAATAACATACCAAACTAGTGAAAAATATTATGGTTAAGTAAAACCTTTATATAGGCACTAAAGAAAGTTGCATTAATTCATCTTTTAAAAATGACAGATACATATATTTCTGAAGCTAAAATTTGTTTTAAAAAATTCTGAAACAAGTAACTACATATAAGAAAACATGTTTTAAATGTTGTCAATTACAGTTGACCCTTAAACTCTGTTGGTTTAAACTTTGTGTATCTGCTTACATACAGATTTTTTTAATAAATCCAGTACAGTATTATAAATGTATTTTCTCTTACTGATAATTTTCTTAATTATACTTTCTATTTTCTATCTTACTCTAAGAATCAGTACATAATACAAAATATGAAATCTATGTTAATCAACTGTTTACATTAGGCTTCTGGTCAACAAGAGGCTTCAGTAGCTAAGTTTTATAGAAGTCAAAAATTATACTTGGATTTTTAACTGTATACATTAGCACTCCTAACCCTGTTGTTTGAGCGTCCACTGTATTCTGTATATTTTGCCAGAATAAAAAACTGTGTTCCACATATATATGTGTGTATACATATATAGGTGTATATGTATGTATATATGCGTGTGTGTGTATATATGGGTGTGTGTGTATATATATATGTGTATATATGCGTGTGTGTGTGTATATATGGGGGTGTGTGTGTGTGTGTGCTCGACACACTTGAGTGTGTGGCATTTCTTGCCCTTTCATAAACTATTTCTCAGAGATCATATCCAGATGAGATCAATTACTCTCCACTGGGATCAATTCATTCTAAATCTGTTAGGCAAAAAAGAAAACAATAATGTTTTGAATTATTAAAGCACTGCCTCAGATTGTAATCAACAAATTCTTAGTCACTAAACCCTAACTTGCTTTAAATTTCAATCATTTTCAAAGCAAGGGCCCTTAACATATATATGTATATATAACTTCATCCTTTACTTCACATTATAAATATTGGTTTCACCTTATCAAAACATTTTTGCACAATCTTAAATATGTATAAAAAAGGAAAATATAAACTGATATTCATTAGGACAATGAGTCTGTTTATTCTGACAATTTCTCAGTCTCTGTAAGAACATTTGCTTGCTCAAAACTAAATATGCAACAGATGACTTAAAAGGTAACTTATTCTTAAGATACACTAAACCTCAAAAGTAACACTGAGAAGCAAACTTCTGTGGAAAGGAATGCTTTCTACATTATATTAGTAAGAGGCAAACTCTTATGGCATCCCTAAAGTACCAAATTATAGTGGAAAAGAGAAGATGTGATTTGGACTGTCATTTTCAGAGCTATTAAGAAAACTCACGGTTACATGACAATTTTAAAGAGCCAGAGAACAATTGTTCCCTCAGAATTCTTTCAAGAATTGTCCACTTTCAAAATTCACATGTCTAAGTTTTATTACTAAAGCTCTCTACCCCCACTGCTCTCCGTTAACACTGTCCACAATGTGATAACAGTAATTTTTAAGTACAGTCTATGGTTCTACTTCCTGAAGTGTACATCAGCAACAATCTATTATGTGCAGGGTCTAGCACAACATTTACAAGTGGAAACCATAAACGAAAGTGCTATTCATACAATCAGAAGGACAGGAAAGAGCCCTATAGAGAGTAAATACATAGTTCAAGGAAATTTTCAATATGCTCCAACTTTACTTACGGACTTTCAATTTACCACTTCCTAGACACCAGTGCTATTGACTGTATTCAACATAAACTTATTAAAATGACCACAATTTAACTTGCACATCGTGTAGTCAGATTATCTTAACCTTTAAATGGAAATGTTTAACTTGTTAAAAATCAATATTCCAACAAAGGGAAAGAATAATCACATTAAAAATAAATTCCATACTTAATATTATTTTTGTAAACTTATTTTAAAGCACTACAGCACAAGCTCTTTTTGTGTGATATAACCAGACTTTTTATCCAGTAAGAATCACCTTTCCTTTTTCACAATACCATAAACAACTCAGAGAAATTTAAATCTTCAAAAAGGAGGACTATAAACAGTTAATTAAAATAAAATTCCATCTGGAGTAATTTCCTTGACATAATCTAAATAGAATACATTATGCTGTCACTGGTTAAAAAATACTAAGTTTTCTGAATCATATGCCCTTCTACGCATTATATATCGATAAAAAAAATTAGCCAATTATTTATGAAACAAACTCTTCTGCTCAAGAAACCAAGAGTCCTGCTCCTATACCTTCTAGAAGCCCAAATATTTCTGCTCTCCCTTCTCGCATGAGGCATTAAACCTTCAGAATCACAGTTTTATCTCGCTACTCTCCTTACCCTTCACAATTATAGCTTTATCTTGCTACTTTCCTAATAATCACTGTTTTTCATTTTTATCTTCCACATCTGTATCTGGAGACTAAAGACTATTTAGGCATCAGGTTCTTCCGCCTAGCCTCTCAAACCATACCACGCTCTTAATACTGATCATTCTGTAATCATTTTCTCCGAATTACCCGGTGAGAGGTTTGAGGTTTCCAGTTTCACTGACAAGAGCCTGATGTGTCTCAGGGTAAGGCAAGTTAAATATTCTGCTCTTTATGTTCTACACATCTAAAAAGCACTTGACAAAGTTTACCAACACCCTCCTTTCTAGAATAGCAAACGGCTCGTCCTAGAACGCAGAGAACAGCTGCTTTGCTCCGAAGAATACGGCTCCTAAGCACTTCGCAGAGCAGCTGTTAGTAACTTTCGGACGCCTGCTGGACTATCACTGTGGTTAAAATAATGATGGGTCACCTTGCTTCACTTTTTCCTTTGCAAGAATGGGTCTTGCATTCAATGTAGAAAACCTACACGTGCCTTTTAAAAATAAAGTACAAAAAAAAAAATAAACATTACTTTAGCTCCACTACTTTTCCAAAAGAAATCATTTCACGATCCCTACATCATTAGCTAAACCATGCGGACCAGTTGTACATGACACTGGAAGGCTTTTAAGAGGTTTCTAATTTCTACCCCATCCTCACCAAACATGTTCGCAAGTTTTCAGTAATTTCGAGAACGTTCTATACCACATAGGTGCTGGTGCAGTCTCTCTGTTCTGCTCAAATACCAGCCCCGAATACCCGGCACTTGATAAACTGTGGGTGTATTTCTGGTTACCTGAAGCGCTTTCTGCACCCTTTGTCACCCAGTGATGCGCCCACCGGCGAGTATTTCACATCCTTTAAAAGCTTCCTCCCACCCTTCAAAAAACACACATTAGACTTGGAGGTTTCCGCATACTAATACGGAACCACTAAGACCGCTAGGTATTATGGCTCTCAAAGAATCCTCTTTAGCAGCCTCCCCTGGGACACTGTGCTCAGCGGGGCTTTGAACCTATGAGACTCGCTGCCAGCTGCCTTTGCAAAAGCAGCACCTAGGCCGACTCAATACCGCATTGCTGCTGCTGCTGCAGCTGACTTTTTCCAGCAGCTTAAAAAAAAATTTTTTGTTTTAAAAATCAGCCCAGTAGCCTGCACACCCTGCCGGCTCCTCTGCAGCACGGAAGAGAAACCGCCGCATTGCTCAGCGTGGAACACCAAGGAGCCCGGCTGTAGGGCGGGGAAGCGAGTGCCGTCCAGAGGCTCCGTCGAGGGCGGGGAGTTGGGGGGTGGGGGGAGAGAGGCGTCCGGACTGTAGGGGACCGCGACGAGGCAGCGACCAGGGCGCCGGCGTCTGGGCGCCCCGCTCGGCATCGCGCACCGGCCGTGGCCGTCGAATAGCGGGGTCCCGGCAGCGACAGGGGACCCTCTCCCGGATGGAGGGGAGTCCCCGCAGCAGCCGGCCCTGCCCCGCCCGCCGCCCCCCGGGCCCTCACCTGTCATGAGCGCCGGACTGTCGCCCGCCGCCGCAGCGGGAGAGGAGACGGCCGCCGCGGCAGAGCCCGAGGCCCGCCGCCCGCGGAGGTGCCTGGACACCAGCTCGCATCCGTCCGCCGCGCCGGCCGCCAGCAGCCCAAGCAGCAGTAGCGCAGCCCAGTGGCCCCGCCGCAGCCAGCCCGAGGTCGGGCCGGGCGTCGCGGCGGGATGAGGGCGCGGAGGAGCCGCGGGGGGGAAGCGCAGCGGCGCCCCGGCCGCCGGCCACTCGTCCGCTCCGCCTGGCGCTGCAGCCGCCGCCGGCGACTCCTCGGGCCGCCCCCGCCGCCGCGGACGCGAGCCCCTGCCGGGCGCCAGCCTGGTCCCCTCGGCACCGGCGGCCTCCGGAGCTCGGGTCCCGGCTGCGTTCATTGGTTCCGGTTATTTAAAAAAAAAAAAAAAAAAAGGTGAGGGGCAGAAAAGGTACGGCGTCTTCAGGCCGCGCGCGACACCCGCGCTCCTGCGGCGGCGAGACCGGGATCCGCTGCTCTGGCGCCTCTCAACACCAGACCCAGCGCCCGCGCCACCGCCGCCGCGGCGCATCCCCCCGCCCTCTCCGGCCCGCGCCCGCCGTAGTACCACGCTCGGCCCCGACGCCTCCTCCCTCACACACTCGCACGCAGCATACCAATCCCCCGCCTCCTTCAGCCCCTCCACAGCGCAGGCGCGGCGCTGCTGCACTGCGCCTGCGCGGCGCCACAGCCCCGCCTCCAGGGGCGTTCCCGCGAGGACCGGAGCGCTGCAGGGTGGCAACTAACGCTTTCGCTGAGCCCAGGGTAGGCAGGAAGACGGGCTTGCCCCTTCCCCCATTCACGGCCCGGCCCAGACAGCCTGAGGGTGGGGGGGACCCAAGAGGCGGGACAAAGGAGCACAGACTTCCCAAATTGTTTGGGCGAGTTATAGGCGTGTAGCCGGCAACAAAAATGATTGCATGGCTCAAGAAAACCTTGTAATCAGAAACAGCGGCGTCTCTAGAATTTCAGGATAGGTGGGGCTTACACGAAACTGGCAATGTGGAAGTGGAGGTTAGCACAGCGTCGTGTTTTATTTACTTAAAGCGCTTCATACAAGCCCCTACTCGGGCGCTGCTCTAAAGGCATTACAAATTTACACACTGTAACTCTAGAAGTTATATAGTGGTATCGTTATCATTCCCACTGTACAATTGAGGCAACCCAAGCCCAGAGATGGTAAGTAACTTACCCCCCGGCAAATAAATGGGGAAAGGGCCAGATTTAGCACCGCTGAATGTAAATACTGAAATGGATCTTGCCCCTGACTTTCCTTTGTTCAAACATTTCCTGAATCACCACCTCGCTACTGCCACCCCACCAACAAGGATTCCTCGCTGTCGGTTTACTAAGTTTACAGAACAGTTGTTCAGACTTGGCTTTACCTACCTCACATGAAGCAGAGCTTGCGCGCACACACAAACACACACGTAGGCATTCTCTTTCCCATGAGCATAAAGTTACTTAAAATTTGCAGATACGGTTCTTAAGCATTAAGGTCCTGTTTCGTATTGGGTTTTCATTGTTGGGTTAGGGCTTCGATTTTGGTTTTTATTAGTTGGTTTGTTTTCTCGAGTCAAAAAGATCCTCAACTTACACAATCTCCGAAAGAATTCCTTAGGCAACCTAGCCCATATAACCATCATTATCATTCACTGTGGAAGGGCAGATGCACACTTAAGAATCAAGAATTTCTTTGAAGCTAATCAATCTATCAACAATTATTTCTTGACAGACTTCTTGGGGACATCGTGTTTTAGGTGGCAATTCTTCATAGGGCAACAGGGAGATTATATTTCCCCTGCTGAAAGGCACAGCAATCAAGTCACACATTTACTGAGTGGTTACCGAAAGGAGAGACTTCTGCTAGAAGACCAGGAAAATATAAGTAACAGGCTAGTTTTCTGCTCTCCAGAAGGCAACCTTTCATTCATTCAATATTTATCCAGTGCCTAGTATGTGCCAGGCAGAGTACTGAGTAGTTGGGATTCAGGAGGAATAAGAGAAAGAAAAAGTCAGTTAAGTCAGTACTCAGGGATATAAGAGACAACACAGTCCCTGCCTGGGAAGTCTTATGATCTTGCCTAGAAGGTAAAATTTACACCCATTAAATAATTAGAGACTAATACAAGGTAGCAGTTATTCAGTTGCTAAATTGGGTAGAGCAAGCTCTATTATAGCAATAACTGCAGTATAAAACCACAAACAAATTAACAAATCATGGAGGCCAACCCTCTTTAAACAAAGATATGTGGGGGGACGGCGGGGGGCGGGGGGGGGGGGGAGTAGGCTCCACACCCTAGGACCTCGGGCTTGCTTGAACTCCCCAGCCAGAGATCAAGAGTTACATGCTCCAAAGACTGAGCCAGCCAGGCAGCCCTCCTATCTTTCAAAGATAGGAAGGATGTTGGCACTTGAGAAGACACTGGATTTGAGGTTGCGATTTAACTGTTTATGCCTTTCAACAATGGAGCCAAAAAAGAGAGGAGATGCCTGCCAACACTGAAGAGACCTGTCTCAGGCAGCCCAGGGTTCAGGAATAAATCATCTCATATCGTCTTTGTCCTGGGTCCCAAATTTTCTGACTATTAAACAGTGACCAGAATGCACCCTCTTGTGAAACAGAGGTATAGCATCACTGTGCATCTAGTATAAACCGAAGTGCAGAAAAGAGAAAATCCATGGCTTTGGGAGAGAAGCCAATCTGTAGAATTAAAGATGCTTCTATTTGCAAGCCGAACAGAGACACCAGGTTCCCGTTAAGACAACCACTTCCCTTTCGTCTCAGACTTCCTGTCTCACCTCCAAGCCTTTGCCTTCCCTTTCCTTGCCTCCCACAAACTTTCTTCTCTTCTTTCCTCTTGCCAAATCACATGCAAGATCTACTGGGAGACCTTTTCCTTTCCGCCTGCCTGACTCCTACAGCGCGATTCTTAACGTCCAAACTTTATGACTTCCCATTCATTTACGGAATGTCTTTACTGTCTACTTTTCACCCATTGTGACTTCAAGCAACTGAGCTTGTCAGACAAACCTCGTGGAAATTGCAACTCCGCCACTTTTCAGTTGTGTAACCTGTAGAAAAATTACTCTGGCCTCGGTTTTCGGAGGGGAAAATTAGGGACCATGTAATAATGCCAGCCCCACAGCGTTGCTGATGGCGGCAAGAGAGTGAAATAACAGGTCTGCCTTTGCGCGCTGCCTGGCACACAGGTAGCTTTCATCCCTCAGGGAGAACTGGCATCAGGCTCTGGGCGTGTGTTCTGAGCGTGTTCCTAATTTAGGATAAGCTCATCGCTCTTTGCCTGCGTGGTGGTTTGAGTTCATCTTCTCTCCTCCCCCCCCCCCCACTGCCTTAACTCCGTGGGGCGCGCCCAGCACAGACGCAGGATCCGTCCATCCGGCCCCTCCCATCCCAGAAGCAAACCAGCCCTTCCCAAGCGTCGGGCTCCGTCCCCATCTCCTTCCCCCCCCTTCTCCCCGCAGCCAGGACGGCCCACGACTCCCCACCCGCTCCAACCCGGAGAACCGGATCTCGTCCCGAGAGCGAAGCCAGAAGCGCGCCTGCGCCGCCAGCAGCCTCGCGCATGCCCGCTGTCTCCCACGGCCTTTTCCCCAGGTGCGCGAGCTCTGAGGCTCCCGCGGTTCCGGGACGCCAGCGCGCCGCAGCGAGCTTGGCTTCCGGCTCCCACTCCGTGGGCCGGTGCGTCCAGGCGGCCTGCTGCCACGCGATGACGTCACCGCGCGAGCGGGCGCGGCAGGCTGTGGGTGGGCGTGGAGCCGGAGCTGGGGTGGAGGTAGGGGCGTGGGGAATTCCGGTGCTCGGTAACTGACAGGGGCTTCCTCCTGCGTCCTGCCCGCCCACGGAGCTTCTCCAGCCCGCGTTTCCCCAGCCAGCAGAGCGACTTGCAAGTTCGATTTCTTGGCTTCGACTCCGCGACCTTGGAATATTGGCAGCTGACGGAGCATCATCCGAGACCCCGCTTCTTTTACTGATTACAGTTAAGCCCCTCGGAGAAATGCAAGGAACTCCCTTTGGTGGAAGCGCTGTTGCGCACCAACTAGTTTATGTTTTTCCACTAACTCCCCACCCGGGCTTGCAAGGGAATTGAGGTCCTGAGACCTTTAGAAACATCTCTGAGGTGGTAACTACGTATATGGTGGCCCCTGGACCCGAACAGTGAAGCCACTGCATATAAATATGGTCCTCTAATCGTTGAATGAATTAGAGCACTAAGAAGAAAAGTGACACAGTGGAAATAACTCATTAGCAAGATTCTTTCTCCCTAAAGCCAGTAAGGCATGGAATATTCCTCAACTAATTAAGTGAAGTTGGTAAACTTCCTCATTGCATCTTTCTTGGCGCATGGAGGAAGATTTTTTCAAAAGCTTTCTTGCATCCAGAGTGCAAAATCGAAAATTGTCTAAAGAGTTTCAGCATATTAACATCGTTTTTAAAAAGCCACCCAACAAAGCAAAAGCAAGTCAGTTTTGCCAAAGCTAATTAGTGGGCTTGTGGAGTCATTTCTATTAATTAAAAAGCATGTTTGCTCTGTTACTGCTTAATTGGAGGGATTACATGAATATTATCGATCGCGTAATATCTGTTAAGTCGTAAAGCAGTAGCAGTGCTGACAGCCCATTAAAAAGAGGAGTCGACTTGTGAAGAAGACAAAAGTTGGGATGTTCATAACTGAAATTGATGAGAAAATGACCACTGCTTCATTTGCACACAGGAGTCCTTCGATAGTAACGATCGTTCTGAAGATGAAAGGCAAATTATGCAACAGGTAGAACATGATATGCCTGCACTCTTGACAGCAAGGGACTGGAAAAATGATTGATGAGATGGAAAAACTTTTGAGTATGCTTCTAAGTTCAGATGCCTACTAGCCTAATCTTAAATCACATTAAGACCAACTGTTTGTTCTGGAACGAAAGTTTAGGACGGTAAAGTATGCGTTTCAGGCAAAGTGTGGTTCCATGGGTACAAAGAACCAAACAAATATTTATAACCTCTGTGAGTTATGAGGTACAAAGTTGCTTAGGGGTTCTTAAAACACTTGAAGAGATTATCTAAGAGGGCATTACCTACCCTCAATTTCAAAGTATACAAACATGTCTATTTTTGGAAAAGATCCCATAGAACATGCATGAGCAAGAAGGAGAAAAATAGACTTCTTTTTGAAGTTGTAAAGGGTTACCCACCTCAGCCTTATTTTGTGGAAGATTCATCCAGATACTGCAAGGTTAAGCCTCTTCACTTTAAGTTCGAGTGTATAGCAACACAGCCATAAATCCAGCCGTTTGGAGTTTAAACCTTTCACGAGGAGAAGAGGAGCTCCAGTATCTTGGTTCCAGGAAAGCCGGGTCCTTGCCGGAGGTCTATTTGAGGAATGGTGTCTCTAAGATACAGATTCTAGCGTTCACGCCGCAATTGTGTGACTTTGGCCAAGTTTCCAAACATCTTAGCCTTAGTTTCCCATTTCCTAAAAAGGCAACCATAATGGTGCCTACACAGGACTGTTGTGAGGTAAAAATGGTTGTAAAGGGACT